TGAAATATTTCAGGTCTTTAATTGTTTTAATACTGATGATTATGGCATACAGCTCATGAAAACTCAAAATGCCTGTCTGATTTTAATTTTAAACTGACCACCTCTACTGCATCATCAACAGGAATGCACGTAAAGAGTGATGTGACATCAAAAGAGATCATTGTTTCATCAGTCTCCATGATGACATCCCTCACCTTATCCACAAAGTCCATGGTGCTCTGTATGTGGTGTTCTGAGCTGCCAACTAAAGGGATGAGTACAGACACCAGATATTTGGAAACATTGTAAGTGACAGAGTTAATCATACTAACAATTGGTCTTAAAGGTACACCTTGTTTGTGGATTTTAGGTAAACCATACAGACTAGGTGTGGCCTCCCCTGGGTACAGTCTGTGGTACAGAAAACGGTCAATAGCCTTGTCCTGCTCCAAAATTTTCTGGCAATCTATCAATTTCTTCTTGTAACCACTTCCTGGATCTCTTTTCAGAGGTTCATAAGTGTTTGTCACTAAGGAGTGTCATAACTTTCTCATTATGGTCTTTCTGGTTCAAAATCACTGTGCACCTTCCTTTGTCTGCTGGGAGAATGATGATGTTTTTGTCCTTGCTAAGAGTGGTGAGTACATCCCTCTCCTCTCTACTGATGTTGGAAGGTGGTGGTTTGGCATTGCTGAGGCAGGATGAAACTTTGATTCTGAGCTGTTCTGCTTCAGCCTCTTTCATTTTGTTGTTGCGGATGGCTGATTCTGTGGCTGTGATCATCTCCACCAGAGGAATTCTACTTGGTGCAACCGCAAAGTTCAGTCCCCTGGCAAGAATCTCTGTCTCCGGCTGGGTGAGCTGTCTGTCAGATAAATTTATCACCCACTTTTCTGTCTCCCTGGCATGTAATTGACTACTGGAGTGTTGTCCTACACTGAATGTGTTGTTATTGGAATAGTGATGGTGTTGATGAGCTATTAGTACGTTAAACTTGTTTTGTTGTCGAGTCTTGGACTTGACATGCTGTGCTAAGCGTGCCTGATCTGTACAGTCCAACACTTGCTGAAGTGTGGTCTGATCTAGACACATAGTTAGTTTCTGTTTAATGTGCTCTTCTTTGGCCTTCAAGGCCTCAATAGTAAAATTGGTCTGTCTCACCCGTTCATTCAGCAGCTGGGTTTGTGCCTTCTGAAGGATCTTGCTTGCCCGGTGCCCGCTGACCGATGATTTTAGTTCCAGGCTCTTGGGAATGATGCCACTTTGTCGACATCTGAGGTTGAATCGCAAATGGTTCCTGTAGTCTGCCCTCTTCCTTGCTGTTTTCTCAAACTCTCTAACTAGTTTGAGGCAATCCTGGCCAAAGTGATTCAAAATATCCTGATGCATGCTCAATAATCCAGGTAGAAAATCTAAAAAAGTTCAATCTGGTCCTCTGGACATTCAAAAAAACAAAACAAAGCAAAACAACAAAAAAATGCAGAAACGTTTCGTCTCTCATCCGAGAGACTTCCTCAGTCTGAGGAGCTGTATTCAGCTCAGTCTCTTAAATACTGTCTTCTTGTCTTGTCTTGTCTCTTAAATTCTGTCAATTACAATGTTTCCAAATATCTGGCGTCTGTACTCACCCCTTTAGTTGGCAGCTCAGAACACCACATACAGAACACCATGGACTTTGTGGACAAGGTGAGGGATGTCATCATGGAGACTGATGAAACAATGGTCTCTTTTGATGTCACATCACTCTTTACGTGCATTCCTGTTGATGATGCAGTAGAGGTGGTCAGTTTAAGATTAAAATCAGACACCACACTGAGCAGCAGGACCACGCTTTCTACAGAACAACTGTGTCAACTCTTGAAACTGTGCCTGCAGTCAACCTACTTCACATATGGGGGTCAATATTATAGGCAGAAACATGGGTGTGCTATGGGGTCTCCAGTTTCTCCTATTGTTGCCAACCTGTACATGGAGGAGGTAGAAAAGAGAGCCTTGACGTCCTTTTCAGGGACACCACCAAGTCATTGGTTCAGGTATGTTGACGACACCTGGGTTAAAATTAAATCTCAGGAAGTCCAACATTTTACTGACCACATCAACTCTGTGGATAAATACATCAAGTTCACACGAGAAGATGTAAAAAATGGCAAGTTGGCTTTCTTGGACTGTGAGGTCTCAGTCTCTGATAGAGGACATTTGCAAACCGAGGTGTACCGCAAACCCACCCACACAGACCAGTATTTGCAGTTTGACTCCCATCACCCTTTGGAGCACAAGTTAGGAGTCATCAGGACTCTGTATCACAGAGCAGACAGCGTCCCCACTAGCTCGGGAGCCAGGCAGAAGGAGAAATCCTACACAAAACAGGCTCTAGAGCAATGTGGATATCCTAACTGGGCCTTCCTGAAAGCAGAGAAGAAACCCAAACAGGACTCCAGTCAGCCATCAGGTGAAAAGGAGGAACCCAGACCCAGACCAGTGGTCATTCCGTATGTTGAGGGAGTATCAGAGAAACTGAGACGTTTATTTTCTAAACATAACGTCCCAGTGGCTTTTAAACCCCAAAATACATTACGGCAAAGACTGGTTCATCCCAAAGATCCAGTCCCCCGGCACAAACAGAGTAATGTTGTGTATGCTGTTCAGTGTCAGGAGGGCTGTGATCAGTCTTACATCGGGGAAACTAAACAGCCACTGGCCAAAAGGATGGCCCAGCACAGAAGATCAACATCATCAGGCCAGGATTCTGCGGTCTACACTCATCTCCAGGCCAGCGGTCACTCTTTCAGGGATGAAGATGTTCACATCCTGGATAGAGAGGAACGATGGTTTGAGAGAGGAGTAAAGGAGGCCATCTTTGTGAAAAGAAACCGTCCATCATTAAACAGGGGTGGAGGCCTACGTGTTCAACTGTCCCCCTCTTACAATGCTGTGATTGCTAGTATCACTCAGCACTCTGTGAACAGTAAACAGCCATCAGTGTGCTAATGATCCATTGTTAGGCTGATGGTCCTTCTTGAGCATGTGATCAGCTGGTTTTGGTTGTCAGCAGCAAAACTGGTTGATCCACTCTGAGAAGGTGCTATTTAAGAGACTGAGCTGAATACAGCACCTCAGACTGAGGAAGTCTCTTGGATGAGAGACGAAACGTTTCTACATTTTTTTGTTGTTTTGCTTTGTTTGTTTTTTTTGAATGTCCAGAGGACCAGATTTAACTTTTTTAAATTGAATGAGTTGTTAATTTAATTCATTGTTATAATTTACTTTATGGTCCGTCGCATCCGTCAAAAAAAGCATCATGAAGAGGAAAAAAATATATATGTACAAGTCGCATTTATTATGAGTCACCGCTGACCTGTCGCGTTTATTAAATGGTCAAAACAGCTTCATTTCGCCTGGGCAGCACGACTCCACCCACCCACCCACCCATCCGCCAGTCCTCCCGTGCATGCATGGATGCACGGGAGGACTTGCTGTTGCATGCATGCATGCATGGCCAGAACCATTAGCTCTCCAGCGTTCCTCCGCTGCACCAGCTGAGTGAAGTGAGCACACAGTGGAGGACTTGCTGTTGCAGTTCTAAGAAATTTAACAAGATTAACACTTAAAAACAATTATTTGTTTGCTCGATATTATATCAAAGGTGTGTCTCAGTTTAACTTTTCCTTAATAAATGCACTTTAATGGTCAAAACAGCTTCATTTCGCCTGGGTGGCGCTGCACCATCCAGCCAGCCAGCTAGCCGTCCATCCATACATCACAGCCAGAGCTGCTAGCTCTCCAGCGTTCCTCCTCCTACACCAGATGAGTGAAGCGAGAGCGCGCACGGGAGGATTCATTGTTGCAGTTCTTTGAAATTTAAAGCATCAGTCAAAAATTGTGTTATGAATATGGGGAAAAAGTATATAAGTCGCTTTGGCGTATAAGTCACAGGACTGACAAATCTATGCAAAAAAACTGTGACTTATACGCTGGAAAATACGGTATTTATCCTACCCACCTCAGCAAAGTTCTGCCCCAGGCATGCACGTGGACCGAGGGCAAAGGGGTAGTAGCAGTAGTAAGGCCTGAGAAAACAGATACAAGAAACAAGAAGTTGACAAGATGTTTATGTTTAAAATCAAACATGCAACCTAAAAACTATGTGACCATGGTGTTCTACTTACTTGGGAGCATCTGGGTGAAATCGGTCTGGATCAAACTTCAGTGGGTCCTTGAAGAATCTTTCCATTCTCCCGACTGCATACGAGTTCAACTGAATATGAGAATAATACGTCACATTTTGGTCGTAGAGTATAATTTGTAAATGATCTAAAACAGATTTTGATGTTGGATTCTTTAGTGATGATGGTGGTGGTCAAACGTGTCCAACATATAAATAGACAGTGCATGAACCTGATGCATTAGAGCTTTCATTACACCATTAGGGAGGTTTTCTTATAGAAACATTTTAGAAAAATGAACGCAATTTAAAAAATTACTTAGCTGCTGTCTGGATGAAGCACCTGTCTGCTAATGATCCAAATGAAGATTTTTCATTTAGATTAAAAACAACTGAATGAAAACAGTTGAAGACATCACTGTTCTTGCCACACCTAACCCTCGGCTGTAACTAGTACGGACTGCTCCAAACTTTTATGCCGCAGCCCCAAAGACTCAGCGTGGATCCTGGCAAGACAGGTTCGTTTGTGATTGTGTTCTCAAGGATCTAGTGCAAATCCCGGTGCCTTACAATGGCAGTGCGTTCTGAAACCAAACACTCACCATACAAGAGACTCCCCCAGGAATGTGGACTCCATCAATCACCATGTCTTCCTGAATCTCACGGGATATGCCAGGAAGCGTTGAATACAATCTCAGCGTCTCTTTTAGCACCTGAGGGAGAGATTATGATGTGAGGTCTTCATAACAGATTAAATACTAACTCTGCAGTTCTAAAGTAAACTGAAGCAGAAGTAAAAATTAACTTATTAAATTAACTAGAAAACTGACAATTCAGACAACGAATATTAATACTTAGCATTCCTTAGATCAATGGTTCTCAAACTGGGGTCCCTGGACCCCCTGGGGTCCGTGAGCCTGTTTGGGGATCCGCCAAAAAAAAAAAAACATATATGTCTGTATAGTATTTAGTATTTTAGTTTTTATAACGTAAAAACTAAAATACTAATACTAAAAATATAAACTTTTTTTTTTAACAAGCACATTGATGTTTAACTACCTGTTACAATACACCAAAATGCAGGAAATCACATCTATTTTATTAAAAAATTTCTGGGGGAGGACCCACAGACCCCCACCCGCTATTTGCATTCTGGCATCAATCAGTTTACAAAAAGAAAGTCCTGTTACTTGGCACTGCTGTTCTGATTCTGTTCAGTTTCATGTAAAGAGTTTTCTGTGATAGTTTGAAAAAGTGACGGTACATTTGCGTTCATTATGTGAATAGGTAAAATTTTAAAGTGGTTTTTGATGCTGTTAATTTAATCGAAACTTTAATTTTCAAAGTTGAAATAAAAAAAACAAACATTGTGTCTTGAATGAAAAATGCCCCATGTTTTAAAGTATAAAAATTGTTTTAACACTATTAAAAAACAGGTCTTAAGTACTTATGTTGCACAAATATTTCCATTGCATTAAAGAGACAAATTGAAAAAAACGTGTCTAATAAACATGAGGGTTATGAGGGGGTCCCTGAAACTTTTTCTCCCCTGTAAGGGGTCCCTAAACCCAAAACGTTTGAGAACCCGTGTCCACAACTTTTATGCCAGTTTCATCATCTTACGATGAGAAAAACTGACGTTATAGTTGTTCTGAACAATGCTTGAAAGTAAAACTACACAATCTCTCTCTATATTGCAAGATGAGCGATCTGTCAGCACGTGAGTTGTGAATGACCCTCAACGACTACCACATCACATTAGTTCAATGTGTGTGTAATTGACAGATTTGTAGACATTTTTGTGCTGGCCAAGATCACTAAGTCATGGCAGCCATCTTTAATAGAGTTGACTCCAAAAGTTAATCAGTTAAATGTACATTCAATACTATTAATTTCTGCAAGTTTCCCTAAAAATGTCTAGTAGTTTACAAGTTATTTTGCTAACACGACAGACAAATGAACACCGCAGAGACACAAGCAAAAACATTATTGTCCATCGTTGCTTTCCAACAGTAAGTACAACTGTGGGCAAATATTTGTCAGGACTAAAATAGTTCTGGGTTTTCATGGTATGTACTTGTCGCAGGTAGGTCAGTTTCCCAATGTCTTCATAGCTTAGATTTTGTTTCATCCCAATGGCATCATCCACTTCTTTCCTCGCTCTGAAAAGTAAAAACTTAACTTCAGAAATGAGTCTTTATTAACTATGCACAACCAACAGTGTAATATTATGTCTTACTTCTCCAGAACTTCAGGGTGTCTTGTAAGTTCCATGATGCAGAACGCTAGCTGATTAGCTGTTGTCTCTTGACCTAAAATATAGACATTTTAGCACAGCTGAAATAAAACGTCACTTCAAATGAAGTAGCATTTCACTAGTCCAACTAAAGAGGTTGTGACTGCTGCCATTAAACAAAAGAGAAAGGTTTAAAAAACACTTACTGTGTTTAAAATTAAACATGCAGTGAGATCCATGAGCTATGCAGTAAATGTAAGACTTTGGACCGATACCAATGTTGAAAATATATTATTTGTCCAAAGGTCAACAACTTGCACCAATTAGTTTTGTAACTTAATTTTCCTTTTACAGTAGTCCATCGTTTATTGCGAGTGTTATGTTCCAGGACCCCCCCGTGATAAGTGAAAAAACACGAAATAGGGATAGTAGTACAAGAGAAGAGTCGCAAGGCAGGACAGCAAAGGGTTAAACCTTCACGAAGCTCTGCAGCACGGACGAGAAACATACTTTTTGATCCATTACACGTTAACAACTGAACATAGAAGTTCTAAAATAATGAAAAATAACTTTTAACGCTTTTATATTTTGTGATTATGACGATTTTAGGATGTGACAAATTTTGAATTTTAAGTTGGAAAACAAAAATCGATGGGTGCAGCTGGACAGCGAAGGGTTAACCCTTCACAAGGCTGCTTCAGCACGGAGGAGAAATGCAGGCGGGAGCTTCTGCCTGCACCTGTGGGCTGCACACAGGTGCAGCAGGTACTAAATCGTTTCAAAAAATGTATGTTAAATAAACAATCCATGCTGCTTGTATGGCTCGTCCATCAATCAGTAAATTGTGTGTCATGTCCAATCTTACTTTGAAAAACCGCGAAAGAGTGAGTCCACGAAAGTCGAACCACGAAGTAGCGAGGGACTGTAATGTCAGGCAATCAGCTATTCTATGCACCCTTAATACCCATGGGAGGACAAGAAGCTGGTTCAGCGTTCAACATTCAGGATGAAAACACACTCTATTCACTACAGATCCAAGACTTGATCAGTGACTCATTTCCAGCATCGTAGCATAGATGTTCTCAAATGGACTAAGTGTGAGCACCCTACAGTTCTAATACACTCTCTGGTACTTCTTTGAAAAAGAAAAAAGAAAAACTACCACCCTGGATAGCCAATCCAGATATACTCTGTCCATTCGCAAAAGAGGACGACCGGAATACAGACTGGAACAGCGAAGAAGTGCATGTTTATGTCCCTCCTCAGTAAAGTCATGTCTGCGCTACACAAAGCTTTGAGTTTTGCATTTGAGGCGCTGAGATTTGTAACTTCCAAACGAAAAACTTTCAGTTTTCACAATTAAAATATTTAAATTTACAAATAAAATGTTAATAATCAGAAGGGAAAAAGAATAGTATTTAATTGCTCTAAACTCTGTTAAATAAGTTGCTATTTTATTTGATTGCTAAAAACCAAACAAAAATCTATAACACCTCAATAGGTGATATCTGTTAAAAGTACCGTAGAACTGCATGTAGTTTATAGCTATGCTCACAAAACTGACTAACCATAATAAAGGTTTCTATAAAAAAAAAAAAATTTGATCATTAAACACAACTTTGTACATGAGTACCACATACTGCACATTATATGCCCTTTGAAAAAACGTACAGCAATCTATAGCAATGACCCGGAAGAGCAAAGACCTTGTATAACATATGACCTTGATTTGTGACCTTTAAGCTGGAGTGATGAAAAGTGCACACGACTCTCCGTCTAGTGATGATGCATATGTGTATGAGGTTTTGTTAAATTATCTTGAGCAGATCAGAAGTTAAGTGCAGAACAAGAGAAATGACGAAGCCTTCCGGATCGAAGGCGAAACGTTTTCAGCACAAAAAAAGAAACTGTCCAGATGACCTGACTGAAAAATGTTGGATTGTTTAACTGGATTATTGAGCACGGGCTTTGTTGTAGAACAAGAGAAAGTTTACAAATGTAAGGAGACTCTACCATAACACATCTGCCTCCTGACGGGTGCACAAGAACAGGTTTAAAGTCTTCTCTCGAGTATTGTTCCTCAAATTTAAGCTCAAAACAACTCACCAGCGATGAAGAATGTCACAAAGTTGTCCAACATAAACTCCTTATCTTCTTCAGTCATGCTTTCTTCTGTTGCAACAGAAGGGGCAGGTCAGTGATTTTACACAGTTATCTCAAATGCTATAACAAGAATTTCACAAAAACTATGCTAAAATGTGTAAATTCATCTACCAACTACAGGTGCTGGTCATAAAATTAGAATATCATGAAAAAGTTGATTCATTTCAGTAATTCCATTCAAAAAGTGAAACTAGCATATTATATTAATTCATTACACACAGTCTGATATATTTCAAATGTTTATTTATTTTAATGTTGATGATTATAACTGACAACTAATGAAACCCCCAAATTCAGTATCTCAGAAAATTAGAATATTGTGAAAAGGTTCAATATTGAGGAGACCTGGTACTACACTCTAATCAGCTAATTAACACAAAACACTTGCAAAGGCCTTTAAATGTTCTTGTTCTGTAGGCTACACAATCATGGGGAAGACTGCTGTCTTGACAGTTGTCCAAAAGACAACCATTGACACCTTGCACAAGGAGGGCAAGACACAAAAGGCCATTGCAAAAGAGACTGGCTGTTCACAGAGCTCTGTGTCCAAGCACATTAATAGAGAGGCGAAGGGAAGGAAACGATGTGGTAGAAAAAAGTGTACAAGCAATAGGAATAACTACACCCTGGAGAGGATGGTGAAACAAAAATTCCAAAATGTGTATGTGTATGTGTGTGTGTGTGTGTGTGGGGGGGGGGGGGGGGCACAAAGAGTGGACTGCAGCTAGAGTCAGTGTTTCAAGAACCACCATGCACAGACATATGCAAGACATGGGTTTCAGCTGTCACATTCCTTGTGTCAAGCCATTCTTGAACAAGAGACAGTGTCAGAAGTGTCTCGCCTGGGCTAAAGACAAAAAGGACTGGACTGCTGCTGAGTGGTCCAAAGTTATGTTTTCTGATGAAAGTAAATTTTGCATTTCCTTTGTAAATCAAGGTCCCAGAGTCTGGAGGAAGAGAAGAGAGGCACAGAATCCATGTTGCTTGAGGTCCAGTGTCAAGTTTCCACAGTCAGTGATGGTTTGGGGTGCCATGTCATCTGCTGGTGTTGGTCCACTGTGTTTTCTGAGGTCCAAGGTCAACGCAGCCGTCTACCAGGAAGTATTAGAGCACTTCCTGCTGCTGACCAACTTTATGGAGATGCAGATTTAATTTCCCAACAGGACTTGGCACCTGCACATGTAGTACCAAAGCTACAAGTACCTGGTTTAAGGACCATGGTATCCCTGTTCTTTATTGGCCAGCAAACTCACCAGACCTTAACCCCTTAGAAAATCTATGGGGTATTGTGAAGAGGAAGATGTGATACACCAGACCCAACAATTCAGAAGAGCTGAAGGCCACTATCAGAGCAACTTGGGCTCCTAACACCTGAGCAGTGCCACAGACTGATTGACTCCATGCCACGCCGCATTGCTGCAGTAATCCAGGCAAAAGGAGCAACAACTAAATATTGAGTGCTGTACATGCTCATATTTTTAATCTTCATACTTTTCAGTTGACCAACATTTCTAAAAATCATTTTTTTAAATTGGTCTTAAGTTTAATATTCTAATTTTCTGAGATATTGAATTTAGGGTTTTCATTAGTTGTCAGTTATAATCATCAACATTAAAAGAAATAAACATTGGAAATATATCAGCCTGTGTGTTATGAACGAATATACACTTTTCACTTTATGAATGGAATTACTGAAATAAATCAACTTTTCATGATATTCTAATTTTATGACCAGCGCCTGTATGTTAGAGCAGTTTGTGAAACCTGTTTATTCCAGCTGCGCGCTGTGTAACACAGGTAACAGAAAATTACACGTTTTATTATAACCTGCGTCAGCAGTTTTGATGATCTGCGTGAGGATGTCGTTGGGGACATCATCGCCATTCTGCATGGCGGTCCTTCTCTCCTGGAGCACCTGATCCCCAGTTGTTCGCAGCAGACGACATGCCTCCCTCGCTTCTCTAACAAAGCGTCTGTTCATAGGATTGTACTGAAATAGGCAGACTTGAGATGTCAAACAGCTGACTGCTCATAAGGTTTTTATGGGACAAGTTCCAAATTAAACTAAAGAATTACCTCGAATGTAAAATCTCTAATATAGTACCCCATCGCACTTAGACAAGTTTCAATGGCTTTCGGGAAAGGTGAGCTATTTGTCAGTAGGTCTAAATCCATGCCAAAAGCAACCTGAAAAGTATCACATAAACATACATACTTATCTATTAGTACAGTACCACAATGCAGTGGGACCCAACTCTGGTCCTTAAGGAACACCTTCCTGCATGTTTTTGTTGTTTCCCTGCTTTGACACACATGATTTGAATGAATGAGTGATTAAAAGGCTTCTGCAAATTTTTATCAAGTAATTAAATCACTGAATCAGCTGTGCTGGAGCAGGGAAACAACTAAAACATGCTGGATAATGCTCCTTGAGGACCAGGGTAGGGAACTACTGCCATAATGAACAATGAAGCTGGTGCTTTTATTGCTTTTTCTTCACTTTTATTTGTTGAGTCAAGAACTATGTTACCTTAGCAATCACATCAAGTGTAACACAGTTGACAAGGTGCAGCATTTTGGCCTCGGTGTTATTATCAGCTGCATCTGAAAGTTTGTCCATCAGTCTCTCTGCTCTCTCATTAAAGGTCCCAATTAGACCTCTCAAATACCTGGAAGGAATGATAGTGTCAAGTGCAAAAAACAAACAAAAAAAAAACCTCACATCCAGGGGATACCACCAAGTCTCACAGTTGTATTGTATGGTAATTGGACAATGCTGCAAGAAAGACTAGGAAAACAGTCTGAGGCAATCCTGGTCAAATGTCCAGATGCATGCTCAGTAATCCAGGTAGATAAATCTAACAAGGTTGAATCAGGTCCTCTGGGCGGATTCTTCTTTGTTGAGAAGAAACATTTCAATAAAGAAGAATCCATCGAGAGGACCCGACCTCACTTTGGTAAGAGTAGGGAAAGAGATTGTACAAACTGATAAGGACAGCAAATGAAAAAAACAAAATATATTTTAAAAAGTAATGATTGGAAACTTATTAACTCACAAGCTGCTGAAGGCAGGGTCCATGATCCTGCGCTGTTTATACCACACTGCATGATCCTGTACTGTTACCAGACCATTGCCGAAAAACCTGCACAACAAACAGGTGAAAAATTCTCAAAAACACGTAATTTATTTTTATTCAACTGGAACTAAAAAAATAATTTGATGTTGCAGTAACTTGTTAACTTCTGTCACTTTACAAACCTATCAAATGAAAAATATCAAGAGGACTATGGTCTGTTCTTTATTAATCCTTCTGTAAATACATAGGCTATCACTTGCTTTTGTTTTTACATGAAATATAAAGTTCAGATTTTTTTTCTGCATAGTTGTTACTAGCAGGTGGCATCGTACCTGCAGAAGATGTACTGTAGGTCTAGACAATCTCAATTTGGAGAATCGGGGACAATTCTCAGAAAGCAGTTACTCTGCCTGGTAAGATTACCAAGTACATTTTTGAAAACATTCATCCACCTTCTTATTATTTATAGTAACAAAGGCAACAAATCCAGGAAGGAAACTCAGACATCCGCTCCAGCTCCTTCTGAATGATTCCAAACTATTTCCAGGGCAGAGAGGAAATTTCAACAAATATTGGGTCTGCCCCAGAGTCTCTTCCCAGTGAGACATGCACAGAATACTTCCAGAGAAACGTGCATAGGGGAATCCTAATCTTATGCCCAAAACACCTCAGCTGATGCCTTTTGCTACAGAGAAGCAGCGGCTCTACTCCAAGCTACACCTGGATGACGGAGCTCCTCGTCTTATGTCACCTAACGAAGGACACTCATTTCAGCAGCTTGTATCCAGGATCTCGTTTCCATCGTGATTCATGCCTTTTGGACCACAGGTGAGAATTGAACTGTTGACTTGACTGGTAAATTTGTGTGTAACTGGGACACAATTTACAATTTAGTGCACAATTTTGTTGTGAATGACAATAAACTTGAACTTAAATTGAGAGCTTTTCTTTGTACTCAATTCTTTCTTTATCTTCATGGACCAAAGCAACACCCTCATCACTGCAGACAAAGCCTCAATCTGAGGATGTATCTTCCACTCCATCCTACCACCTCTTGTGAACAAGACTCCCAGATAATTGAACTCCTCCGCTTGGGGCAGAGACTCACCCCCATTCATTCATTCATTCATTCATTCAACCTTTATTAATACAGGTTAGTCTCACTGAGTCACAAGGACTCATTTTAAGAGAGACCTGTTTTAATCCAAAACCACGGATAAGGTACACACAACAGTAAACAGTAATAAAATGCATATAAAATGCAAAGTAAATAAAAGTGGTGATATAAAACAAAATAAAAACAAGCTACATTATAAAAAGAGGTAAAATACAAAAAACAGGAATATGGCTGCATTGATTTTTGCATTGAACTTAGCAATTGTTTAAAATCCCTTAGCGAGGTCAAAGACGACAGCTTCAGATATTTTTGCAAAGGTATTCCAGGAAACAGGAGCAGATTTAGAGAAGGCCCTTTTGCCAAATTCAGTCCGCACTGAGGGGACGCTGCAGGTCATGATGTCTGGAGAGCGCATGCTGTAGCTGCACTGACGACATGACATGTAGGAGGAGATGTATGAAGGCAGCAGACCAAGAAGTGATTTAAAGATGAAAATGTACCAGTGAGAGTCTGTGTTGTTAATGATGACCAACTGACCAATGAGTACAGACTGCAATGGTGGGCACAATAGTTACAACCAGTTATGAATCTTAGCCCGCTGTGGTAGAGAGCATCAAACATCTGCATGGTACTTGCAGGAGCATTCATGTTAATAATGTCACTGTAGTCAAGGGCCGGAGAGAAAGTGGCAGATATAAGGCATTTCCTAGCATTCAGAGTTAAACAAGATTTATTTCTGAAAAAGAAACCCAGTTTTATTTTCAATTTTTTTTAATCAAGTTTTCGACATGAGGCTTAAAAGAGAGATGTTCATCAACCTCCTTGAATCGCCACCTTATTGTGGTGGAGGAGTTTGTGCGCCTGAATGATCCTAGGAGCTATGCTGTTGGGGGCAATTATAATTGTCCCTGGTAGGGTCTCCCAAGGCAGATTGGTCCTAGGTGACAGGCCAGACAAAGAGTGATTCAGAAGATTTTTATGGACAAAACAAAACAAGGAACTCAGTGTCCCTTGCTCAGACGTGGGTTACCGGGGCCCCACCCTGGAGCCAGGCCTGGGGGAGGGGCTCACTGGCGAGTGCCTGGTATCCGGGTCTCTGCCTATGGGGCCCGGTCGGGCTCAGCCCAAAGGAGCAGCATGGGTTTGCCTTCCTGTGGACCCACCACCTGCAGGAAGGGCCATAAAAGTTAGGTGCATGATGCCATGGGCAGTGGCCGCTCTGGAGTTGTCCATGGTGAGAGGCGTCGAGCTGATGTGGGTCTACTTGTAGTCCCCCGACTTGGTGCCTGTGTGTTGGAGTTTTCCCCGGTAGATGAGAGGGTGGCTTCCCTTCATCTTCGGATGGAGGGACGAGCTCTGACTGTTGTTTGTGCCTACGTGCTGAACTGCCATTCAGAGTATCCGGCCTTCTTGAAGTCCTTGGCAGGGGTGCTGGAAGGTGCGCCAGCTGGGGACTCCTTTATTCTGCTGGGGGACTTCAATGACCACGTGGGTAATGACAGTGTGACATGGAGGGGCATGATTGGGAGGAACGGCCTCTCTGATCTGAACCCGAGCGGTGTTCTGTTGTTGGACTTCTGTGCTAGTCATAGTTTGTCCATCACAAACACCATGTTCGAACATAAGGGTGTCCATAAGTGCACTTGGCTCCAGGACACCGTAGGTCGTAGATCAATGATTGACTTCATAGTCATGTCATCTGATTTGCGGCCGTATGTTTTGGACACTCGGGTAAAGAGAGGAGCTGAGCTGTCAACTGATCACCACATGGTAGTGAGTTGGATCAGATGGCGGGGGAAGATGCCAGACAGACCCGGTAGACCCAAACGTGCAGTGAGGGTTTGAAGTGAGGGAAAGCAGCACTTTACTAACTCTGTGTTCAGTGAAAGTGGGGTGATGTTGACCTCAACCAGTGATGTAGTCGGGAGGTGGAAGGACCTTCTCAATCCCACCAGCACGTCTTCCATGGAGGAAGCTGAGTCGGGGGACTTTGGGGCTGATCCGTCCATAACCATGGGTTAGGGCATCTGGTAAGGATGCCCCCTGGGTGCCTCCCTAGATAGGTGCTTTTGGCATGTCCAACTGGAAGGAGACCCCGGGGAAGACCCAGGACACGTTGGAGAGAATATGTCACTTGGTAGGCCTGGGAATGCCTTGGAATCCTTCCAGAAGAGCTGGAAGAGGTGGCTTTGGAAAGAGCTGTCTAGGCCTCCCTGCTCGGGCTGCTGCCTCTGTGACCCGACTTCGGAATGAGCGGAAAATAATGGATGGATGCATGAACCAAGATTTTCAAGTATTTGTAAGAATCGACAAACTCAATAGGAACTTCATTCGTAGATAAGATAGAAGGAAGGACTGCTGGTACCAACTTCCTGTTTGAAAACAACATCTCTTTGGTTTTATCAGCATTTAGCACCAGTTCGAGACGGAACAAATCTGACTGGATGATGTTGAATGTACTGTAAAACCTGGAAGAACTTAGCAACTGATAGCTAGACAATAAACAACTGTGTCATCAGCATAGAAATGTAAGGATGTATCAGGAATGGTCTGACCTACATTACTTGTGTAGATTGTAAAGAGAGTGGGTCCTAAGACTGAGCTTTGTGGTACACTATTGTTAACAGTTGAATAACTGGAAAAAGTACCATTGTGTTGAACACATTGCCTCCGATCTGAGAGATAATTAGAAAACCAACCGATAGTATGAGCTAAGAAACCAATGTCTGAGAGCTTATGACATAAGATGTCGTGATCTACTGTGTCAAAGGCTTTGGACAGGTCTAAATAAAGTCCAGCACAGTAATCCTTACCAATGCATCCAATGCTTAACCAATATTGTTAAAAACCTTCATTGAAGCTCATTGTGCTGTGTTGTTTCCTGAGGCCAGATTGATGGGAAGATATGTAGAATGACATATCCTGAGATATATTCATACATTAAACGGGTTCACTCATCTTTCTGGACTGTGTGATGTTCGTGCGTTGAATTTAATGAAATGTAACGTGAGACGTCATTTTTCTTTGACCCATCAAAATGAATGCGGTCATTTATTTTACAGAATCAAAGTTTAACATCAAACATTTACATTAATTTGGCAGAATATGAAAACAACAACATAATTAATCAGCTTTTACAACCAGGAAACCATACGGCCATGGTTTTCCGTTGTTACACCACAGACATTAATGAAAACATCTGGATTAATTTTCTAGCAGATAGGAGAGTTAAAGATGGAAAGATGAAGTTTATCTGAGAGAGATGTGTGAGGGAATTTGTCTGTTTTAACCAGAACAGCACGCTCCATTGAAATCAGCTTGGGCCAACGGTACGCTTGGTCGAAATAGAACTTTTACCTTGCAGACGATAGCTTCAGCGTCGGTGTAGAGCTCTTCTTTTGACTCTTTTCAGCGTCTCCGTGAGAAAAGCTAAAAACCTTAGGAGTCGTGTGAGGTTATCCAAACAGAAGTTATAATTCCCAAAATCGTCTCTGGTTCAGCTTGTTTGGTTTAGCAGCATCCATGAATGCCTGCGGTTGCATTCACGGACTCCCAAACTCTCTGCACTCTGGATTCCACAACTCTTGAACTCTCCTGTTGAACTGGGAAGTTGCCACATTTAAACGGGCTATACTTCCGGTTCATTTGAGAGCCTCTGATTGGTGGATGGACCAGAACAGAGGTGTGGTTTGTGATGTAAGGTGTTATGGAAAGTCAAGGATAGAGATTAAGATTGTTTAAGAACAGACAGAAAGATTGTTGGAGAAAACCAGTCTTAGTGGCGTCTCTACTCAGTATCTTGCTGTAAAAGTTAAACATGACATTTCTTTTCAGTAAACTTCTTAGTTGACCGAAACCTGAACTTTAACACACTTACAACTTTGCTCACTTTCAAAGCAGACAATCAAGAAATTGAATCATTACTCTGTAATGTACTCTAACTTGATTTCACTTTGAATTGAGGAATAAAAATCATTACTACTGTTTAAGTAAATAAAAATGAGTAGTTCACTTCAACATGTAGACATTGTTTGAACTAACACAATTTGATTATCAAAACATTTGTAAAATAGTAATGATCATCGAGAATTGTCTTTTCCACTTGATTAATTCAAGACAGAAAGTCTCAGGATGGGTCAAACTGTATTTCTGGATTCAAATCAATGAAATGACAGTTTCTGTCCATCTGGTCAGTTTTGACATCAGGCTTAGTCCACTACAGATAAGATGTTAAAAGAATCCAAATACTGTACTTCTTGGCTTGGGCATTTATCAATCTTTCCAAAACCTTAGCTAGAAAATACAGAGTTTGGAGACTGGTCGATAAATGTTCAGTATATTGGGGTCTCCTTCGTTCAATACTGGTAGAAAAAAATCTTTTTTCCAAAAAGTTGTAACGGTATTTTGGCATTTGCTCCCCCAACTCAGTGGGAGCATGCCACCTTTTTCCGGTTGAGCACTGTGGCCTCGGACTCGGAAGGAGCTGACTCTCATTGTAGCAGCTTCACACAGCTGCAAACTTTCCCAGTGCACGTTGAAGGTCATGGCACAATAATGCTAACAACCATATCATCCACAAAAGGCAGAGACAAGTCCCTAAGGTTCCCAAATTAGACACTCTCCTCTCCATGACTAGGCTTTGAGATGCTGTCCATGAGAATTACAAACAGGATCAGAAACAAGGGACAACTCCGACAGAGTCCAACCCACACTGGGAACGAACTTGACTTTCTGCTGAGGATACAAACTCAACTCTTGCTTTAAATACACAAGGACTGGAATTTTTTTTATTAAAAGTTGTCCTGGCATCCCATATTGCCCCCCCCCCCCCCTCCCCCCAAAAGAATGCCTAGAGGAATGCAGTCATAAGCCTTCTCCAGATCCACAAAACATATGTAGTCAAACTGTCATGACTCCCTTAGCAACTTTACAAGGACAAAGATCTACAGTGGTCTTCTATTGCATGACCACGATGAAAGCCACACTGCTCCTCCTGAATCAGATTTTTTGTTGCAAAGGAACATGTGTTTTATATTAACATTACTGGTAACAAACCAACATAGACTTCAACTGGATAACCATATCTTTTGAAGTAAATAACCATATTATGGTGGCAGCATTGAAAAGGTTTATAAAATATCTTTTGCATTAGGCACTTGAAAATCTTTGAGCTGATTATAAAACAACAAAAATCTGCTGTGAGCTTAATAATAATAATAATAATAATGTGTTATCATCATCATTGTATGTTGGCAAATTTGGCTCTCTGCATTTAACCCATCCACCCTCAGGTGATGTGGTGGGCAGCTATTGGGGGTGCCTAGGGAGTAGTTGGAGATAGGGTGTGCTGCTCAGAGACACCACGAGATGTGCGATGATTGGGGATCGAGCCTGGAACTTTCGGGTCCCAAGTCGGCTGCCCTGCCTCTACACAATCCCGGCCCCCATTCTTCAGCAGAATTTCTTTCTGATTTTATAAACTGAGAATAATGAGGCTTCTATATACTGAAGGTAAGATACTGACTGCTGATAACAACTTCACATAAGCTCACATAAATAAAAAGTATGAACTAGTTCTTTGTTTAGTAATAATGAAGTCTGACAGCTACCTTTGACCAAACAGATTAAAGAGTCTCCTGTAGACGAACTTGTCCTTGGGGTACTTTGGGGACAACAGGATTTCCTGAAACAAAAACCAGTCAAATACTAAACAGTGACACCAAAGTCCATGCTCAAAAATCCAGGTATAAAATCCAACAATTTTCAATCAGGTCATCTGGACGGTTTCTTTTTTTGTGTGTTGACACGTTTTGCCTTCCATCCAGAAGGCTTCATCGGTCTGAGGAAACACCAAACAAAACTGCTTCTTCCCCAACAGCTTACTCTAAAGTGAAAAAAAAAACAACAGTTATATTGGTGCTAAGAAGGTCTCCGGGGCATGCCCTCTCCTCCGGTGCCTGCCCCTCCCTCATCGAAGGTCATGTAAGCTCTTGGGGGAGAAGCAGTTTTGTTTGGTTTCCTCAGATTGATGAAGCCTTCTGGATGGAAGGCGAAACATCTCAGCATAAATATTTTTTTTTAAATGTCCAGATGACCTGACAGAAAATTGTTGGACTAAACAGTGACAGATAGAAGCAGCTAGTGCTAAAGAAGTGGAACTGTTTTATTTGGAGAACCCTGAACTTTGCTTCTAACCATTTTGTGAATATACTGTAGAGTGACATCATCACACTCTAAGTTGAACATTTCATGATAAAATTTTTCAAATTGATACAAATGTAAACTGCAATTGTGTAAAAACTATTAAAGATGTTAAAATGGATACCAGTTCAGTCATATTTACTTTCAGTGACCCTTTTGAAAGATGGTTTTCCATCTGAGTGCTGGGATTTCTCATTTGTTCAACCATTATCCTTTTGTTATAAATGAGATATCCCCCCCCCCCATGTGAAATTTGACTACAATGTATGATATACTGCTGTCAGAGATCATAGCGAACTATGCTAAATTGAGCTGACTTTTAATGTATTTTGAACATTTGTTTTCCTAAAGCTACAGAAGCAACAAACCAAAAATGTGACAAATACAGAAAAATTAAACATAAGAACCACACTGCACATCTGTAAACACAATTAACTAAACTGAAAGTATATTTATCCGATCACTTTTTTTTTTCTACATTTGGCACTTTCAGGGCTCTATACACGCACAACAACAGAGCGTCATGACTCATTAAGTACACTGTGCACTGTGTAACATGCGTTTACCTTAGTTGCCTCTGGACAGGTCACACACACGAAAACATAATGCAGAACATTTAGCCTGTAAACAGAGCCGTAAGTCTCCGACCTGTAAAAACACATAGTTTTATTTAAAAAAAAACAACATATTTTACACGCGCAAATCCAAAGTTTGACTAGGGAATTAATAATATTTTTACGTTTTCTTACGATAAAACACATGCACACGGCGTTGAAAAATAGCTAAGTCTTTATTAACAGGTTGTATAGATTTTCTGGAGAGAAAAAAAAATCGCTTTTATTACGTAATAAAAGCGATTTTTCTAAATGTTCACTTACCATTCAATTACCTTGTCGTGCACAAGTTCGTCATTTTTCATAATCCTCTTTAACGTCGCAGAGTGACCCATCAAAAAACTTTAAAAAAGAAGAAAATGCGTCTCAATTACACCGCCCCAAACAAACTTATTAAAACTTTCCTTATTTTACCTGTCTCTCGTTGGTCCAGGTATGTGGTCATATTTCAGGTGAATGTATTTAATATACAGGCAATAAACGAGGAGCGCGACAACAAGAAGAAAAAGTGCGATTAAAAGCGCCTTTGAACACAAACTCCAAAGAAGATGAAAAACTTCCATTTTAGTGTGTTGCTGTGCAGCAGCAGCGGGGTATGGCAAGCTGTTGTAGCAATAAGTTTTCTGCAGACCAAAAGTGGGCGTTTCTGGAGAATAGGCGTTTGTAGAGGACAAACACTGATTAACAGCTGTATTTGCTGCTCTTTAGGTAAGTTACCTCAGCTCTTTTTATAAAACTGAAGGTTTCTAAGAAACATCGTTATATCTGCTGTCAAACACAAGAAGATTATATTTCTTGTGTTCTTAGGTTGTTGGCTGCACCTGACACAGGTTGGCTTGAGTGTGGTCTGGGTACAATGAAATATGAAGCATCTGAAGTGAAACTTGCTCCTATTTGTCCAAAAGTCTGGTCTCAATTAAAGATCATGAGTCCTGTAACAGACAATGGCCCAAAACAAAAGCTAAAAACAAAATTTGCTCTTTAGAAGTTCTTCTATGAGATCTGATCTATGCTGAAACATGAAGTAAGGTTGACCCTTAAAATGTGAGACAGCTGAGGAAGTTAACCAGTAAACAGAAATACCTGCTCCAGTTGGAGAAATCTTACAGAAACTGACAATCACTCATCTGCAATGACTGCAGGTTGAACAAGAAAATGTGAAGTTAAAGGAAACATCCTTTGTACCAAGGCCAGTTTAAGTATAATTAATATTTTGGTTACTGTATTTTTCTTTCTTTATGAATTGATTGTAACTATTTTCACATTTTTCAACAACCAAAATGGATTTTGTTTTTTAATGTAATGGCTAGGTATTAAAAAAACAAACATTTAGCCCTCCCCACTACCCAGTTATGTTGCTCTTATTTTGAAATGTAACTGGAAGTTCTGTGTTAAGAGAGGCGGAAAGAGAAGTTATGGAGACGCCGCTAATGTCAAACTGGTTAACACCATAGACATAATATATCTGTGGTTAACACAAACGGCTTTTTTTCGTTCAGCCTTTTTTTTTTTTGGTCCAATCAGATGTGGCCCTCCAGACACACCCATTTTTCTATAGTCCAATCAGATATGGCCCCCGGATATGCCTCGTCCAATCAGATGTGGCCCCCCAGATACGCCTTCCAAATTTGTCTGCAGAGATTCCTCATTTAATCAAACCACCTCACTGCACAGCACAGGGGCTGGACCTTATTCTACTCTGGAGTTGCACATGATGGTGCTGGGCTGGTGTGAGCCTCACAGCCCGCCCAGCTTGTTACTGAGTCCTTGAAGATGGTGCTGGAAGGTGCTTTAGCTGTAGATTCCATCATTCTACTGGGGATCTTCAACGACCACAGATGACAGTGCAATCTGGACATGCTTTAATTCAATTCAAATTCAAAAATACTTTATTAATCCCAAAGGGAAATTAAATGTTGTTGTAACTCGTTATCCTCGTTTCATTAATAGATGTTATAGATGCTGATGAGTGTAGGCAGGAAGGATCTCTTGTAAAGGTCACAGCAGATCTGAAGAAACTGGCCGCAGAAACCGTCCGTTAACATCCATTCAAACTCGGCTGGCCTCTCGGTTCCCCCGGGCTGCAGGACCGCCCGAATGCTGGGCTGAACTCCTCCCAGAATGATGGCCACTCCTCCCAGCAGCTTGCCGAGATCCTTCTCGACTGCAGGTGTTGAAGACAATCCCGGTCCTTCTGCTGTCATGAACTACATTTCTTGCCATTTCTAGGATCTCAGTGGTCAGGCACTCGAGCACAGCTGGCAGGTAGTTGGGAATGCATCCACAGCGCCTCCTTTTCAACTCATTTGAGATTTGGGGCTGTAGTTGAGATATTATTTGAGCATTTGAGATGTTAATCAGCTGCTCATGGTTGTAAAAAGCACTTTGCTGTTATGGTTACGCATCATAACAAATGTCCAAAACTAAAAAAAAATTAGGTAAAAATCCTTCCAGCTGCACAGCATCTGATACCAGAGGAAACAAACATCCAAAAAAAGTGCTTTACATCCAGAAAAAAGAGGAATTAAAGTTTCCAAAAGCAAAATCTCAGAATGAAAGTAACACAGCGGCTCCAACATGCAGCCACTCCAAGCGGCGCAATTCTAGAACACTTTATTGGAAGGAACGACCTCTCTGAGCTGAACCTGAGCAGTCTTCTGTTTTTGGACTTCTCTGCTAGTCTCGGTTTTTTCATAACAAATACCATGTTTGAACATAATGGTGTCCATATGTGCACATAGCACCAGGGGGTCTTAAGCCACAAATCAATGATAGACTTTGTTTTAGTGTCATCTGATCTGCGGCCGTATGTTTTGAACACTTGAATGACAAGAGTTGAGCTGTCAACTGCTCTGGACCTGGTGGTGAATTATATTAGACGGTGGGTCAGATGCCAAACAAACTCAGCAGATGCAAATGTTCAGTGAGGGTTTGCTGGAATGGCTCTGTGAGAACATCAGTGACCTGGGAGAGACTCACAGAATGGCTGCTGTGCCTCCTTACTGAGAGAAGCCAGCTCAAGTGGTTTGGGCATCTGGTAAAGATTCTCCCTGGATGCCTCCTTGGGGAGTGGTTTGTCCAACTGGTAAGAGACCTCAAGAAAGACTTGGGACACACTGGAGAGACAATGTCTCTTGGCGGGTCTTGACCTTGGAGTCCTCCCAAAAGAACTGAAAGAAGCTGGGGATGTGAGAAGAGATGTCTGGGCCTCCCTGCTCAAGCTGCAGCCCCCGCAGTTAGTCACAAACAAGTGGCAGATGATGGATGAATGTAGTTCAGTTTCAAAAAGTTTCATATTTCATTCTAGATAGAAATGAACATATGTGCAAATATCTAGAACCAAACAAACACAAATGAAAAAGAATGATAAAAGCTAAGCTGTCTAAAGTTTGACTGTGGATACAATAAACTGAATTCTAGGTATATGAAATATATCTTGATTAAGAATAAATTAGTTACTGTATAGTATGCATATTAACTTTAAATAACCTGTCTAGATATTATATGATAAATTGGCTTGCCATACAGGGTTTAAACACCCCTCTGAACTTTGGTATAGTAATCATATCAACTTCAAGTTTAAAGTCCAAACTTCTGATGTAAGTTATGTGGTGCAGGAGGTGACGGTACCAGATATAAATTGAGTTTAATTACATTCTATTTTATTAGCTTTAACCATATTTATGGATTTGTGTGGAGTAATATTTAGTTACTTCCAAATACTTACTAATTCATTCAACTTTTATTTATACAGGTTAACCCACTGAGCCTCGAGGACTCATTTACAAGAGAGACCTGTTTTTACAAAGAGTGATGACAACAGTAGACCATCATAAAAGAAAGCATATGAATTGAGAAAAATAATTGAAAGAAAATTATATATATATATATATATAAAAAAAAACCAGCTACAATGTAAAGTGATGTACAAAACTAAAAACAGGAACATGTCTGCGTTGGTTTTTCCCATGAACTTAACAGATGTTTGAAGCCACTTGGAGAGGTCAAGGTCAAGAGCTTCAGATCTTTTTGCAAGATATTCCAGGAAACAGGAGCGGAGTAGGAGAAGGTCCTTTTGCCTAGTTCAGTCCTCACTGAGGGAACACTGCAGGTAATACTGTCCTGAGAGCACACACTGTAGCTGCACTCACGCAGTGACATGTAGGAGGAGATGTATGAAGGCAGCAGACCAAGAAGTGATTTAAAGATGAAAATGTACCAGTGAGAGAGTCTGCGTGAAGTTAATGATGACCAGTTAACCAGTGAATACAGGGTGCAGTGGTGGGTACGATAATCACAGCCAGTTATGAATCTTAGTGCACCGTGATAGACAACATCCAACATCTGCAGGGTGCTTGTAGGAGCGTTCATGTAAATGTCACCGTATGGAGGGAAGGAAAGTTGCAGTTTCAAGGTGTTTCCTAGCATTCAGAGTTAAACGGGATCTGTTTCTGAAAAAGAAACCCAGTTTAACTTTCAGTTTCTTTACCAAGTTTTTGTGGCGCTTACAAGAGAGATGCGAATTGATTAAGATACCCAAATGTTTATAGGAATCGACAAACTCATTAGGAGCACCATTCAAAGATAAAATCGAGGGAAGAACTGCTGGGACTGACTTCCTATGTAAAAACAACACCCTTTTGGTTTTGTCAGCGTTTAGGACAAGTTTGAGATGGAACAAATCAGACTGGATGATGTCGAAAGCGGATTGCAAAAACTGGAAAACCTTAGCAACTGTTTTAGCTCGACAATAAACAACAGTGTCATCAGCATAGAAATGTAAGGATGCATCAGGGATGCTTTGACTTACATTACCTATGTAGATTGTGAAGAGAGTGGGTCCTAAGACTGAGCCTTGTGGTACACCATTGTTAACCATTAAATAACTGGAAGTAGCATTACGTTGAACACATCGTCTCCTACCTGAAAGCTAGCTAGTAAACCAAACAATAGTGTGATCTGAATAAACTGGTTAAGTCCACTGGTTGTCAGACATACCAGTACTAATAAGCATGTATGTGTATGCATAAATAATATATTCAAGATGCATATATTATTGAAGGCTTTAATCGTTTGACATTTGTTGATTGTCTCAGGTTTAACCCCATTTCAAGCTTCTGTCTTCCTGCATCAAGCAAATAGATACTAATACCTTGTGGCACAGTACCAAGGCTCTGAGAAGAACTACAACATGAGCAACAGAAGCTTTAATTAGATGGAGATACTTGATCACTGAGCTGCTGCAGGACTTCAGAAGAGCAAAGATAGCCATCAATCTTAGTGTTTCTCTCATCAAACTGCAAGAAAAGAACCAAAGAACCAACATGATGGATGTGTGCAGCTGAACATTCAGACAATGATTCTGCTCAGCCTTCCAACATTCTGATGATGGTGGTCAGTGTCCCAGAGGAGCTGAAACTTCTGTATGATCAGAAAATAGAAAAACTACCAGTACAAAAAAAATTAACATTAGGCGTGGAAACAAATATCTTTAGTTTAATCTTTTTTAATTAAAGTTTGACCAGCTTTACATTTCAGCCTTTGATACTATTGATGAATTGTTTGGGTTTAAAATATACAA